AGGGAAAGGCGAGGGAGACTCCATGACCGTCTCCATGATCGTCGACATTGGTGCAAGACAACACCTGGTGCTTCGGATTGGTAAGAGCCGCGCGAAGGTCGTCGGTCCACGACTACTTACGTTTTAATTGCCCCGCTTTTCGTTCCTCCGTTCCCACTTCTCTCCTCCCAAGGTCATGCCCGCAGCACAACCCCTTCGCTCGGCCGCGTATCGGCGCGACTTCCACCGCCAGCGAGCTCTCCGCCGCGACCAAGGACCTAACGGCGGCAGGTTTCGCACCTTCGGCGCCGTTGCGATAGCCCACCCCATTGTCACGTTCATTCCAAACCGCGCCGCGCCAGTGTATTCCCTCGCCCAAAACGACGGCACCCTCATCCAGTCCTACCACCCCAGCACCATCCAAACAACGCCGCCCATCAGGAATGCCGCAGAGAGGGCCAAGCCCGCCATCAGCAAACCCTCGACCGCTACCATGTCGTCGAGCGCTAGCGCGGCTTCCGGCGCTCGGGCCCGCACGTCCACCGCAACGCGCGGTAAGACCCCCCGCCCTCCTAAACTGACGGCCGAGGAAGACCTCATGCGTCGCATCCGCGCGCGCGCCGCCACACAGTATGTCCCTCCCGTTTTCGTTTACGCATCTGATGGACCGGCCTTTGGATCAGGCGCGCCGAGGCCAAAGTGCGCACCGGGCGCGAGGGGGGGACACACGTCGCGTGCGTCGGGGAGCGGCTCCTGCCACACGTCGGGTTGACGGAATCTTGACACGCGTCGCGGGTGGCGGGAGGCCTCGCAATACGTAGTGTAGACAAATCTTGACAAAGACTTGATTGAGCGTCGTGTCGCTCCGCGTGAATTTACAAAAGCTTGATTGACCCTCGTGTCGCCGGAATTCCTAACGAGCCGCGTGAGTTTCTGAGAGCCATGAGGGCCCAGTGGCGGCGGCGGGTGACATGGGGCCTGTTGCAGACGTTTTTAAATCAGGACAGGAATCTCGAGTGAGATCGCCTACTTCGCAGTCATGTCCATCCAATTATCCTTGAAGTCGTCAGTCGGCGTCGTTGTCCCACAAAATCCTTGGCTGATCTTGACGAACAGCAGCCTCACCACCGCCGAAAAGAAAGCCGCAAAAGACGCGGAGGAGGACCTGCTCCTCGCCAACCATTACTTCGAACGCATCGGTCGCCGCGTGCGGATACATGAATTTGCCGTCCAGCGCCACCTGAAGGCGCCCACCAAAACTTCGCTATCCCTTGTTATTTCGACCTGGGACGACCTCGAGCGCGCTCAGATGCAGACCCCGCCGCCGCTCGACACCGCGGTTGACGTCAAGGCGGCCATCGCGCGCGGCCGCCGCTTGGCTTTTGGAGAGGAATCTAGTGAGGCCGAGCACGCCTGGGCGTACGACCCCACTTCCACGGAAAATACAGGCGTCGGGCCAATCGGACACATGCAAGGGGAGACAGTGGAACACGCGTGGGTGTCTGCGGCCGACAACAGTAGCGTCGCGGACTCGGACGAATGCGAAGGCGCGGCCTACACTACCGTTGAGGAGGCCGAGCTCGCGCTGGAGCAAATCCAGGCGATCGCTCGTCGTGTTCGCCCCGAACACCGTTGCCCGTACTCCCTGGACTAGGTGAGTCGACCTTATCCCCTTTTTACGTCTCTGAACCCCCGCTTCGCCAGCGCGCCGATTCGGGGTCTATCCCCAGCGGGCAATTTTCTTGGTTGGGGGTTTTCAGGCGTTCGGTAGCACCGGTAGTCGAGTCGGCTTGAAATTAATCGTCATCCCCCGGTTTGAAGCAAAAAAATTCAAGATTTATTGAGAATGAGCTTGAGCGAATACAAGAGAAGTCAAGCCCAACGCCGTTTGCCGCGCTGGAAGTAGGGCTGTTGCCCGGGTTTGGGAACATAGTCGGGCGCGGTGCTGGGGTCCTCGTAGTCGAGGAAATAGTTGAGGCCCTCCTCGTAGGGCGCAGACTCGGGCGGGCGCGGCGGGAGTTTGGGGGTGTCGTCCTGCGCGTCGCCTTCGGAATCCGAAGGCGCGGGCAGTGAGTCGCGTTCGGAATCCGAATCGGAAGGCCATTCGGGCAAGTCCTCCTCCTGAACGGGTGGTGGTCTGGGATGGCGCCTTAGGTAGCCTTTCCACCAAGCTTCGTGGCCGATCTTGGCAATGGATTTGCTGCGGACAATAAGTCAGTAGGAAATCGGGGTAGTTGTGGGGACCACACGCACCTGCTACGGTAGGTCACTTGGTTGAGCGCCAGGTCGGGCGCGTGCCGGCCGCGGAAGCGTGCGCCGTCTTCCCGAGCCTTAGCGCGATAGGCGGCCCAAGCCTCGTCGTTCATCTTCAGCTCCGCGCGACGCGTCGCCATGCGCTGACGCGCCTTCCGCTGCAACTCTGCTTTATTTCTGCTCGTTGAGCGTGAGTGAGAGAGTCCCGAAGGAGCCACCAGCGGCGCACCTCTCACGATACCGCGAACTTGCGGCTCGCTGGGCATCGCTGACCTTTGGCTTCATGGCACGCCCCCCAAGACCGGGCGATGGTTGTGTCCAGTGTGGGAAGCTTTTGGGGTGCGCGGTGGACGGAGGCGAGCGGAGTTGGAGGGGGTTGACTCGAAAGTTGAGGAAGGATGGCGGTGGTTTGGACCAAAACCCGCCCTGGGATCCGTTTCTCGCGCCGAATATTCGTCGAGGCCTCTTAAGTTCACGAAAAAACAGGGAAAATTCAGACCGGTCGGCACGCGCAAAAGAGGGATGGTCATCCGCCAGTCGATGGCGGGGAGTGTGAATCCTCAGGCTGTAGCCCGCTGTCCGTGGCGCGCGGACGGTGGCGTGTTCGCTATACCGTAGCATGTTCGCTATATGCCCAAAAAGGCAGCCTGTCATCAGGTCATTTAAGCGCCCAGCAAGCGCCCATCGTGCTCAAGCCCAAGCGGGCGTCCTCAAGTTCATTGGCATGGCTATTTTATTGGTATGGCTATTTCATGGGCTTGTACAACAAGTGTTCTATACTACGATGCGGGCGACGATTCGGGCACCTCTGTGGCGTGTAGTCCCCAAGAGCGCCGAGGTCAAAGTCCCCATCGACGACGAAGGAAAAGGGTCAGCGCGGGCGATCGGGGGTATGCGGCAGAAGCGTTCTACAAAGGAATTAAGTCGGTCGAAGTGGACAATCAGGAGGGGGCGCTTACCGGGTCGAAAAAGAGCGCCGAGGTCAAAATCGCCATCGACGACGAAGGAAAAGGGTCAGCGCGGGGCCACAGCGCACGCGGGCGATGGGGGGTATGCCGCAGAAGCGTTCTACAAAGGAATTAAGTCGGTCGAAGTGGAAAATCAGGAGGGGGCGCTTACCGGGTCGAAAAAGAGCGCCGAGGTCAAAATCGCCATCGACGACGAAGGAAAAGGGTCAGCGCGGGGCCACAGCGCACGCGGGCGATGGGGGGTATGCCGCAGAAGCGTTCTACAAGGGAATTAAGTCGGTCGAAGTGGACAATCAGGAGGGGGCGCTTACCGGGTCGAAAAAGAGCGCCGAGGTCAAAATTGCCATCGACGACGAAGGAAAAGGGTCAGCGCGGGGCCACAGCGCACGCGGGCGATGGGGGTAATGCCGCAGAAGCGTTCTACAAGGGAATTAAGTCGGTCGAAGTGGAAAATCAGGAGGGGGCGCTATCTACGAAGGAATTGAGTCAGTCGAAGTGCAAAAGCGCGCGTGGGCGCTTACCGAGTAAAGAAAGAAAGGGCGACAAGGACCACGGAATGGACTGACTGCGTCCCCGGACGGCGCCTGCGACTGGATGGTGGGAACGTCGTCTAGTCCAAAATGGACTGACTGCGTCCCCAGACGGCGACCGCGACTGTAATGTAGTCTGCGCTAATGGATTCAGTAAATAGGGTGGAAAAAACGGGAGTGGAAGCTTACCAGGTGAGCGAAGACAGCGACAGAGGCTAGGGGTGCCGCAAAGGTCCCGCGACGACCGCACAACCTTCGCGATGTACCTCAGCGCCCCGGCGCGACCGCCAGAGCACAGTAGAGCCGTCGAGTCAAGAGTGGGTGAGATCCTCGAGTTGACCCCATCACGTGCAACTGGGTAGTTGATGAACAATCGATCACACATCACTGCGCGTTCGTCGTCGTTCTCGTTCCTTCGGTCAGTATTGTCGGCTCACCCTTCACATCGCTTCTTGCTCTTGACTACGTGATGGCCCAACGTTCGAGGTGAGTGCCCTTGTATGTGAAAGAGACGCAGTTGACGCCAGTACAAACTAGAGCCGCCAGTCCTTGGTATATATTGGTCTGTGAGAGATATAAAGACGATGAATTGACGCTGCTCAACGGCTGGTAAGTTATAATCGAACTAATCGAAATATATCGGAGAAACTCACCCGTGATCACACGCAGCCGAAGCCCACCGGAGATACAAAACAGCATGTGCTGCCCGCATGAAGAACTCTGCCGCGCGTGTCAGAGGTACCGTCACGCCGTGGAGAGGCGCGCCACCGCCGTCAATAGCGCACAGCGTCTACACAACGTTGAGACGAGTCAGTAGCGAAGCCGTGGTGTTCTCGATAGCTGTTGTGTTCCCCCACGCACTCCCGCTGGGCTGGACGTCCGTACGCTGGGTCCCCCAACCCCATCCACTCGCCTCGAGCCGTGCCGTCGCCCCAGGCACCGAAGACCTTGGACTCCATCTCGCTGGGTTTTTTGGTTTTTTCCGCGTCGCCCCTCGCTCATGCTACACCCCTCAATCCATCCCTATCGCCACTGAGCCTGTTTGTTGTTTTGTCAGATGTATAATACCGTCCGCTGTAAATTACTGTGTACAATATCATGACTTGATCCTCACTGTCTTCAACCATCTTGATCACCAAAATAAAAAACGGACCCTGTATTCTCCTGCGCGTTCTTTGTCGGCGTCGTTCAGTCAGTACAATTTCATCCCGCAGTTACCAAAAAAAAAACAGGCCCATTTTCGAACCCAAAGGTTCGAAAATGGTACCGATGTCCCTGCTGGGGATCGAACCCAGATCATCTAGATAGTTACCAAATCCAGACGCACTACCGGTTGTGCTGCAAGGGCATTCTTTTTTCTTTCTTTCCTTCTTTCAGACTTCGTACGCCGCCAGTTTATGAGCCATAAGCGATGCGTATTCGGGGGCTACTCTATATTACATTGCGGTACATTGCGGCATCGAACAGACTGTTTTCTATTTTACATAAGAGCCGCGATCGAGGGAGACGTATGCGACAAAACATCAGAGCAAGCGACTGAAAAGCAAACGACAAAAAAAAACGCGAAACGATCACCCGCCCCCTGCCGCGCGCGCCGCTTGGATCAACTGCAAGCGCAACTCTTGCGCTTGGGCGAGGGTGTCGACGATCTTGATGTCGAGGTGCGTACCGCCCGGACCGTTCCGTGCTAACTTCGCAGCTTTGCGTCTGGGCTGGGGTGAGCATACGGAGAAGAAGAGAAAAAGAGAAGGGAGGGACTTACGGGTCCAGTTCAACTTGCCCGTCAGACAACAGAAACCACGGCCCCTCGGGAGAGGGGGACAACGCCGCGCGCCCGTTGGAAGAGGGCGACGCGGTGGGCGCGGATGAGGAAGTCTTACTGGGCGCGCAGGAGGTCGACGCGTTCGGCGTGGAGGTCGACGCGTTCGGCGTGGAGGTCGACGCGTTCGGCGTGGAGGTCGACGCGTTCGGCGCGGAGGAGGACGCGTCCGGCGTCGCAGAGGGGAACGCGCCCGACGCGTCCTTGTACCTTTTCAGCGTATGATAGAGAGGGTCGAGGGCGTCTGCGGAGATGCTGGGCCGCGGTGACCCAGGGACGTAAGTGATGGTCCTGCCGCGCGGGCCGTTCGAGGAGGGGTGGAATTTGGAGGGCGCGACAGGCACGGGGGCGCCTTTCGACGGCGCGGATTGCGACGGCACCACGGGCGGAGCGGCGGGCATGGCGGTTTGCCGGGGGAAGAGCTCGGTTTGCCCCTCGTAGAGGCAGGGGAAGAGCTTCCCCAGCCTGTAATGCTCGCGGGGGAGCCTCAAACGTACATCGCGCTTGGTTGGGTCGTGGAAAACGAGGCGGTGGAGCTCAACCTCCGGCACAATTTGCGTCTCGTTCATCTGCTGGACCGCTGTTGTGGGGTGAGCGTGCTGCGAAACGCAAAATTGCCAGTGTTCCTGAGCGACGTCCAGGATTTTCTTGAATTTGACGACTTTGTTGGGGTCGCAATGGTCCTCGTATGTGTAGTTGTGGTCGTTCAGCATGAGTATGAACATCTTGTAGGAGGTTCTGTAAGGGGTAATCAGTATCTGTAAACGGAGGTGAATGCGGGGATGTACAAGTCGGTGAACGCTGCCGAATCGGTAGGATGTTTGAGAAAGATCCAGTTCGACCGTCCGTCGACTTCGTGCTCGTCGATTCCTTTGAAGGTAGAGTGGGTATAGAGAGGAAGTGCACAAGCGAAAAACCCGTCGTTGGGCGCGCTAGAGGGACGAGAGGGATAAATCATGCCGGAAGGGTCGTCCATAGTGGTGGTGGTAGAGAATAGAGAGAGTGTGCTGCGGCTGCGGGTATACGTGGCCGTTTGTGGTTGTTGACGCGAACTAGGGCAGGCTTGGAGACTCATGGAAAACAAGAGAAACTAATGTCAGCTCACCGCGAAACAAGAATAAAACGACGACTTAAGGTAACAGGAGGGTGAGCTATGCGTGGCCTAGCAGCACGATTGTTAGTGCGCGTGGTTAGGTATGCGCGAGATCCTCATTCGAGTCGAGGTTAGGCCATGTTGCGGTTGCAGAGATTGAAAAGGAAATGAGCCCCTAATCTCACCGCGGAGGCCACAGCCAAACAGGAGCAAGCACAGATTTTGGTTGACGCGTCGAGTCGCGTTCGCGTCCTCAATGGCGCGCGGGTCCAAGCCAAGGACAACGTCGGCACCGGCCCCGGTCGGATCCAGCAGCCACCAGCACCTGTTCAATCTCGCCGACATGGACCTGCAACCCGAGGACGCCGCCGTGGAGACCACCGTCCACCGCATTTCCGATGACCGCAGGCGGCTCTATGTCGAGGTCGTTCCTGTGAACCCTCCATCGCCCGTGAAAAAACGACGCCTCAACGCTTCTGGTGCCCCCGAGCCGCCTGTAACGAACGTGGATCCCGACCCCTTCGCCGGCTTCGAGTTTGTCCTGAACCATGAGAGATACAACCTGTTCGAGGACGACGAAGGGGAGCCGGGACCAGAGCCTCTTCCCCGGCCCACGGAAGAGCTGTTGGCGCGTGTCGTGAAGCCGGCGGTGCGTCACCGTTTCTGTTTTGTCAGCGAGAATATCAAGCTCACGACACCCTCAGGATGTCTCGCTGGACAATTGGCGACGATACAAGCGCGACGGGTACCTGAGCAAACTCCTCCATTCCCACGCGCCGCGAGGAAACGACGCCGACGGATCGCCTTGCCCCGGGTGCAGCAACAAGCCACGTCAATTTCGGTGTCGACAATGCTTTGGGGGGATCCTTTACTGTCGGGATTGCGTCCTCCAGCGCCATCGCGAGAACCCTCTGCATCGTCTGGAGGTACGTATTTCGCCGTACGCAACCGACTCCCTACTGATCGACCCTCTTTGGTGTAGTATTGGAACGGCCGTTTTTTTGTCAAAGTTTCGATGGCCATGCTCGGTCTGAGGATACAAATGGGTCACCCGCCCGACTCCCCATGCCCAACGCCGGAGCGCGGCCCAACAGGCTTCGTCGTTCTGCACACGAACGGCATCCACGAAGTTACGGTGGATTTTTGCGGCTGCGAACACGCTTTCGACGCAGGCCCTCATGAACAACAATCGCTCGATCCAGTCGCTTCTTCAGCAATTCGACTACAGACGCCGAGTAAGCCCCTAAACCGCTGATATAGACAGAGACTGACCAAAAGTGACCAATTTCCCCCAATTCCACCCCGCAATCTGCGCGTCGGGCATGTCATGGCGCGCGCCAGGCCCAGCATCCCGCGTGCAGGCGGCCACGGCGCCTAGAGACGACCAAGCGCGCTCGATCCCCTCCCCCTCGAGCTGCGCGCTGCCTAGTAGCCAGTTGAGCGAAAACAGGAGTTGACAGATGAGCGTGTGGGAGTGGATGTGCATCTTCGGGATGGCGAAACGCAGGAGGGTGAGGACGATGGTGAGGCGGACGTGGGAAGGGAGATTCTTCAGACGGTCCAGAAGGTTGACCGTCCAGATGCAGACGATGTCGTATGTAATGAATTTTGCCAGGTGCGCCGGCCAGTGCTTCAATATTGAGGCAAAAATCCAATCGATGTTGGCGAACCTGAAGGACCATCAGCACAAACACGCTTGGTCGGGCGGTCGAGGCGGTCGAAGCTTACCGTTCGCCCTTTTGGAGATCCCCGACGCCATTCGGCTGGACGAACTCGTGTCGTCCGCAGACCCCCATCCCCACGCCCGTCGTTGCGTACCCCCGCGAGAACTTGGTGTTGGCGTAATCCAAGGCGGCAAGGCCGCTACAGGTATTCATCTTTTTTTTTGGTAGTAGTTAGGCGGGGAGCGCGCGAATACCGCAAGAAAAACTGACCTCTTTCTGATCCGTGACCGTTCTTAAATACTCGCGATACGGCGCGGTCGTCACCATGTACGCCCAACCGGAGCCCAAGTCGGGGTCCCTCAGCTCGCTTGAAACGAGGCGCCGCTTGAGACGAAAGCAGGCGTCCAATGCAAGGAAGAGGGTATACAGGAATCTGCGAACATCGTCAATAAGGAACAGCGCGCACTCAAGGTAGATGCCAACCTGTCCTCCGGCGACGCTTTCTCCCACCCCTCCGGTAAATTCACCCCAGGGCGCGGACAGCCCAGGCATCTCACGGCCAGCTCGCCCTCCACCGTACCTTCGACCCCCGACGGATCGTACGCGACGGCGCGCCCGCCATGCTTCAGCAGCATGCAGTGAAACCACTCCCGGCACATCCGAATCCACTCGTGGTATCGGTCGGGCGGTTTGTTACCAGTGTTGTCCGTGAGCTTCTCAAGTGCGCCGTAGGAGTCGTATAAAGTCATCTTGCACTGTAGCACATCGATGTGAAAGCTGACTGAATCTCAGCGCTAGAGCCAACCACACGGGGAAGAAACTTACCGCTCCAGCAGCTCTATCGTCGCGCAGGTCCGAGGTCGTTCATGCGTCGCCGGGAACCAGCGAGCGACCGCGGAATTAACGGAGCAGCAAGCTGCGCTCGACGAGTTTACAGCCCAGCAGGCGGATCGGGTACCAGAGTGGCGCCAGCAGGTCATAGACTTCGAGCTAGACCCGAGGAAGGCGAACCCCTACAAGGTCGTGGTGGGCGGTGAGTTTCAAACTTGGTCATCGTGGGTGCTGTTGGCTGATGACGGAGCAATAGGCGAGACAGAGGCGGACGTACGACTCAGGTTCTCCAAGACGGAGCAGGCGGACTCGAAGCTCGGCGTACCGTCGCTCCACGATGTAAGCCCCAGCTCGTTCATCGTCGCTGGGCTGGATCTTGAGGAGGAGCAGTGCGTATCTGCTTTTGTGCGGTGAAGCGCGTTGTCTGACAGACAGTCATTAATGCAGACGCCGCGTCCGCGTGCAGGCCGAGTTAAAGCGCGCACAGACGACCGAGATGCAGATCGACCTTGGGGCCCTGCGCACGAAGCTCAACCGCGCGATATCTCGCTTCCGCAAGATTCAGCAGGCCTACATGCCCGTCGCGGTGCAGGCGTTGGGGGCAAAGGCGCTGCCTGCGAACACGCTGGCAGAAGACGTGCCTTTGATGCTGCCTTCGGCGCTCACCCCTGAGCAGCGCGAGCTGTGCATGGGCGGGGTGGAGCACATTGAGGCGATGATGCGCAACGCCCAGTGCCGCAGCAGCTTGGTGCGCTTGCGCAACCAGCTGCATATCAAGTCGCGTCTGCTGGTGTACAAGAAAGGGCATGCGCGGCATCAAGGCGCGAACACGCGCTCACGGACGATTGTGACGAGGAACCAATCGAAAGTGCGGCTTCATTCGGAGAAGTACCAGACCGCGTGGGAGGCGATACGGTTGTTGCAGGGCGGTGATCCGGGAA